TAACCCATGAATGGATTAATCCATTCATGAGGGCATAGTCCAGATGATCCAATCACCTCCCAAAGACCCCAGCTTTCAACACTGCCACATGGGGATCAAGCTTTCATGTGAGCTTAGGACAGAACAAACATTCAGACCATAGCATGGCTGGAATCTCACAGAGGAGGTGTTGTGTCCTTCTCAGAGTACAGCCTCTGGAGGGTCACAATATCCTTCTGCCCTTACTTGGTGATGTTAACTTTGGTTACCTGGTCAAGGTATTTCCCAATTTCTGTACTGTTTAATCACTTCCCCTGCTCCCTTTGCAATTAATACAGTTTGTGGAGAGACACTTGAAGACAGTGCAAACATTCTATTCTTCATCAAAATTTCCCCCTGGATTCAGCATCCATATATGATTCTTGCCTGATCTAAATGATGATTTTTCTTTTCTTTTTTTTTACTGAAATATATTGATTATATATATTTTCAGGGTAGTTGTATTTCAATACATGTATATATACAATGTGTGATGATCAAATCAGGGTAATTAGCATACCTTTCATTACAAAATTTAATCATCTCTTTGTGATGAGGACATTTGATCTCCTCTCTTCTAGCCATCTGATAACATGCAGTAAATTATTGTTAATTATAGATGCCTCGCTTGACTATATACCATAGAACTTATTTTTACTATTTGTTTTGTGTTCATTAACCAGCTTGTCAATATTCCTCTTACCCTCCCCTTTCCCGCCTCTAGTGACCACAGTTCTGCTCTTTCCTTCTGAAGGTTCAAAAAGGATGGTTTTCCAATTCCAGCACTTCCTGCCCCCTGCCTTCTACCTCAAGCACAGCCTGCCTTCTCCCTCACTTATTCATCTATTTAGCATTGACATGGACTCACACGTCTTATTTTCCACTGGTTTATAATTTATTACTGTACTTAATAATTTTGGTGCCCAACTGTCCCTGCTTTGGTCAGTGAGAGCCCTTACCCTTTGGTTCCTGGTGACACGTGACCATCATTTTTCTGAGTGCACCATTACTTTGTGGCATAATGAGATGTGCCAGCCTCATGTCTCACCTGCCCTGCTCCAGCCCTGGAATCAGCCTCTTCTCCAAGGAGCTCTGCCTCCTTCAATGAGGAATGGTATTAGAGAGAAAGGCCTGGGTGCTGGAAGTGCTTATGGCTCCTGGGTGTCTTTGTCTCCTGGTCTTTTCAGGAGACAGAGCTGGGAATATATGCATATACAAAACAAATACATATTAGCAAATATGTACATGCACGTACATACACACACACATACAACAGAGACATGTTTATACCCAAACGTATGCATATTTTAGAAATCACAAGGCCCACACCAGTTCTTCCAATCCCAATTTATCCCTGCAGGTTCTTTCTTGACTCTCCACATATCATATTTGCATGTTTCTCCTTCCACAGGGAGAACCCTGCCTTGTAACATGAGCACACTGAATTTTGCAAAAATGGCTCCAAGGTCTTTAAGGAAACAGTCCTAGGTTTTAAGACTGGCCAGAGGCTTATTTAGCCATTATACAGACTTACACACATTTGAAAAGGACAGAGAACGACATTCTGAAAGAAAAGCGAGAGGAGAAAAGTCTCTTCCCTTATTTTCAACAGCATGAGGAGGGTTAAGGCTCTTATGTTAATTTATGTTTGCCCACCCACTGGCTGGGCTGGAATGATTCTGGATCAGATGTAGTCCCAGTTACCAAAAATCTTCTCTTGGCAGTTAGTGGGATGGTAAACTGAACAAAGAGATCTACTCACGGGCCATTCTGAGCTTTAAGGCTATCTATCAACTAGGAGACGGGCATTTAAAAAGCAATTCCCTTGGGCCGGCCCCGTGGCTCACTCGGGAGAATGCGGTGCTGGTAGCTCTGAGGCCTCGGGTTCAGATACTATATAGGGTTGGCCGGTGCGCTCACTGGCTGAGCGTGGTGGAGACCATACCATGCTGAGGGTTGTGTTCCCCTTACCAGTCAAAAAAAAAAACCAAAAAACCCCCCAAAAACCAAAAAACAATTCCCTCACACTAAAGGTGCTAGGTCTTCTTGTGTCCAGCTACTTCACACTATCAAGTCCAAGGTGGCTGACCACAGCACCCTCAGTTAATGTCATAGAGGCTGTTTTTGAGTTATCTAGCAGAGACTTTCAGGAATTACTTCTCATTGCTGATTTGACTATAAGAGATACCAGACATATCTTAAATTTATCTATCTGTCTATCTTCCAGGAGGCTCATGACCAACATAAAAATATCACAGTAACTCTAATTTAGGAAGCAGCATTAAGTTCCCCACTGTGCTGGGCATTTTCCATATAGCATTTCTTATCCTCACAACAAGTCAACGTGATATGGGCAATGGGCTCCATGGTATGGACAAGTGGGCTCCACAGTATGGACAAGTGGGCTCCACGGTATGGACTATGAGCTCCAAGTTATGGACTACGAGCTGCATTTTATAGGTGAGAAAATGTCATGTAGGACTGACTTAAAACAGCGGAAATTTATTTTCTCACAGTTCTGGGGGCTAGAAGTCTAAAATCAAAGTGTTGGTGGGGCCACGCTAACTTGGAAGTCTCCAGGGGACGATCCTTCCTTGCCTCTTCCAGCTTCTGGTGGCTCCAGGTGTCCCTAGGTTTGGGGCCGCATCACTCCTATCTCTGCCTCCATGGTCACATGGCCTTCTCGACTGTGTGTCTATGTCAAATCTCCCTCTGACTTTCTCTTACAAGGACACCTGTCATTGGATTTAGGGCACACCCTAAATCTAGGATGATCTTATCTTGAGATCCTTAATTACATCTTCAAAGACCCATTTTCCAAACAAGGTCATGTTCACAGGTTCCAGGTGGATGTATCTTTTTCGGGGCCACCATTCAACCCGCTACACCAGACATTTGTTTATTTTCTCATTCACCAGACATTAGTGCTTTTTTCGAGCACTAATGTACAAAGAAAATGTAGGAAAGGTAAAAACAAGTTGGATAGGGATTTAGCCCTCAAGAGCTTCACACCTCATTAGAAAATGGCGAATACCATGACTGAAGTAACTGGAAACACAATTCTGCATGACAGCAGCTTGCAAAGGCCCGGCTCGCACCAGCTCGGGTGGGGACCAGGAGGAGGGTACTTCATGGCAGACCTCACTGGAACTGGATCCTCAGAGACAGGTAGACTTTATTTATTTATTAATTTCAGTTAGTTAACTAAAAATTAAAATTTTATTATTCATATTTTTGATTGACAAATCATTGTATACATTTACGGGGTACAAGGTGATGTTTTGATAGATGTATACAATGTGGCATGATTAAATCAAGCTAATTAACATATCCATCACCTTGCTTTCCTATCATTTCTCGTGGTGAGACACTCGAAATTTACTCTCTTAGTTATTTGGGAATATATATAATACATTATTATTGACTATGGTCATCTGCTGTGTTGTAAATCTCAAAACTTATTCCTCCTGTCTATCTGAATCTTTGCCCTTTGGTCAACAACCCCCCAGCCTCTGGTAACCATCATCCGAAGGGACTGGTAAGCTTTAGAGGGTGGGAATGGGGCACTCCAAACAGAAAAATAAGCATCAGGGAGGAGATAGGAAAGGATAGGTGTTTATAGGCCGTGCTGAGAAATTCAGATGGACTGAAGCGCAGCACACAGGAAAGGTAGAAATGAGAGGTAAAGGCAGAGAGGGTGTCTGGGGACAGAATCAGTGGCCCTGAGTGAGTTTTAGCCGGTGAGGATGATCTGGGGTTTTGAACATACATGTGTGATAAAAACTTTAATTTGGAAGATACTTATGATCTTTATGTTCATATATGAATTAAAGTGGGAGAAACATGAGATGAGAAGGCTGGTTCAGAGGCTATGAAATAATTCAGGCATGATCAGCAGGAGAGACAGTAGAGATGTATATGTATTGTAGAGGCAGAATCATAAGGATTTGGTTTAAAAAAACTTAGGGAGGTTAGAGGGGGAGAAGAAATAGTTGAAAGTGACTCAGGTTCTGAGCGTATGTATTGTAGAGGCAGAATCATAAGGATTTGGTTTAAAAAAACTTAGGGAGGAGGCCGGCCCGTGGCTCACTCGGTAGAGTGCGGTGCTGATAACACCAAGGCCACGGGTTCGGATCCTATATAGGGATGGCCGGTTTGCTCACTGGCTGAGCGTGGTGCTGACAACACCAAGCCAAGGGTTGAGATCCCCTTACCGGTCATCTTTTAAAAAAAATTAAAAAAAAAAAACTTAGGGAGGTTAGAGGGGGAGAAGAAATAGTTGAAAGTGACTCAGGTTCTGAGCCTGCGTGGCTGGGGCCCTGGTGGGGCCATTAACAGAAATAGAAAACAGATCATAAGAAAATAGGATGAACTCTTTAGGGACACGCTAAATTCCTAGAGCCTGCCAGAAGCCTGGCAGCGGGACTAGAACTGGAGATGGGGACTGGGGACGATCAGCCCGGGAAGGACAGCACCCAGAGGAAGTGAGGGGAGGAGGGGAGAGGGGCTTTGGAAGGGATTTGGGCAGAAAGAGGAAAAGGACCTGGCAGAGGGGCAGTCGAAGGTGGAGGGGACAGAACAGGAGAATGCTTTGTCAGGACTCAAGGCGGCCAGTTCGAGACGGCGTGCTTCCGTGCATAAAAAGCTGCTGAAAGGTGGATGAGGCTCGAGAACATTCCACAAGGCTGGCAGGAGGTCAGCCTTGGAGGGAGTGGTGTTGGCTGAGTCTGAGTGCAGAGCCTCGAGATCGCTGCTTCCAGAGATCTTGTGGGGAGGAGAAAGGGGAATACCATGACAATAATTAAGGGTTATCTGAATTTCTCACCCCTTTTGGGATTTTTTTTGGTTCCCAAATTTTAAAACATCAGCTCCATGCTAGCTGCATTTTGATGATCAGCACGCTACAGCCAAGTTCTGGGCGGTGGGAGAGGGGTTGGGGGGGGTGGGAATTAAACTATTGAGGCGTCTTTATTTCTCAATTTTTATTCCATTTTTATACATTTACCTCTTTGTCACAAAGTCACACATTTTATCAAAATATACAAACAGCACAGATACTTTAAAAATGTATAGTTAGAATTGGAACTAAACGAGACGGACTACTGCCAACAGCATGCGCGGGTCATGCCTAAGAGAGACATATGAGTCATTAAACCTTCAGTAACGGTAGAGAAGGGATTGTTTTCTTCTCTCTCGGAAGAATCACGCACTTTATTCCTTTTCTTATTATAACGTGAGGGTGGTCATGAGTGACTGCTCTGACACTGAAACCAGCTGAGAAGGGAGGGACGGAGAGGTTGTACTGGTGAGAGTGGACTGAGGCTGTCTCTGTTGGACTCTGATTTCTGGGTTGGCAAGGTGTTTTGGTAATCCTTCCCTATCAGGGACATGAGCTCTTCCCACTTTCCATTTTTCTTTTTCCCATGAATTTCATGGCTAATCAGAACAAATGGATTTGTAAAACTTGAGTTACAAGCTATGTTTATTGTGAAGAATTCCATGACGACACCAGGCCATGGGCTGTGTCATTCTTGAGAAGTTTGATTCATTAAGCATTTTCTGGATCAGCAGTGGGTGCCCAAGAGAAGAGCCATAATTCAGAGCAGTATGACACTTTCAAACCTTTCACAGTGCAGAGAACCACCTTTCAAGTAGATAACTAGGGTTAGCAATGACCTAACTTTAAGAGCATCTGTGAAAGAGGCTGGGAGATAAAACAGAGGGTGTCGTCATTAGTGAAGTAGAGTTGGTTCCTGCTACAGATAAAAAGTCACATGAGGCGCTCACGGGTCTCAGCCTTTATCGTTGAGTGTTTCTGTTCTTTTCCAGGTTGAAAAAGGGACCCAGGAAGTGTCGCTTGAGCCAGTTCCCAGGGAGCGGGCACATTGCTTCGTGTGTCTTGGGAGAGGCAGGATTCAGGAGATGAGCCGCTCCATCCCTGGGTTGATGAAGGAGAAATTCCTGAACATGTTCTGGTCCATACTGTTGATCAGCGCTCTGTCAGCAAATGACAGCCGGGGTTTCTCATTTAAGAATTCTTTGTCAAAATTGCTGCAGTCGTACGGTGATTTCTTGGTCAGAGCATGAGGGGAAAAAAACGGGAAGAAAATCAGCCACTGAATTCATTATCTTACCTTTCATTATCTAGGCTGTAATCGCATACAACAAAATTGGAGTTTGCAGGTAAACTAAACTAAAGTGATACAGATGATCACGTATGGCTTTTATTGATCCCAGGTAATCAGTTTATCAGTAATATAATTAAATTCATATAAATTCCATTGTAGACATTCAAATAGGACCTAATGTGTCTAGTTCATAGTTTACATGAAGCAGGATTGGCAACCTTGAGAAAGTGGTGAGCCCAAATTTGACCTCTGTGTTTTCAGTCTACTTGGAATAGCAGGTGGGGGGGGGGATAAGGGGAGGAGGAAAGGGCGACGGGAAGGAATTTTGCAGATTACATAGCCCCATTCTTTTATCAGTATCCTTTGCTATCGCTGGTTCCCCTACCCGTGTTAATTTATTACTGATCATCTTGGACTGTCTTCCATGGACAACACAGACCAGAACAAGCTCCATGCAAACCACTTGGTCCATTGATTCTCATGGCCGAAAAAAAAAAAAAAATAGAAAGTAAAAGCAAACACCTGTTAATAACTACTGTTCAGTATGGTGTACATTTTGGCTTTCTAAGATTGAGAATAACCATTATCAAAGAAAGTCCTATGAGCCTACATTAGCATAACTGAGAGTCAGCCCCTTCTATCCACGCATGAGGTTAGTGGCCCGTGGCCTCTGTCTCCCAATTGCTGCTCAGACTATAGGTCACAGGAATTCCTCCCTCCTGGCAAAACTGGAAATTGTCCTGCGGGGAAGCTTAGATCAAAGTTTTAATTTCTATGTAGAAAATACCAGGTCAGTCTTGATCTGCTGTGGAAGGTGAGACATGACTTAAATTGTTCTGAGAGCTAAAACAGGGTAAATGATTGATCACAAGCAAATGATTAGCCCACACATCAGATGTGGTACTGTTACAAATAGGCACTGGGGGCCAGTCTGCCAAACCCATGGGACATCCCTGCGCTTGGGACAAATGTTGAGAACCACTATCTAACCCTGGGAAGAAGGCGCATTGCTTTTCCCAGCCATTCGCCATCACGACTACCAACCATGGCTGTTTCCTAAGGTGAACACTTTGCCGTGAAGCCCATGAGCCTGTGCAATCTCAATGGAATGACATGGCAGAGAGGGTCCCTGTCTGCACAGGTGATTACCACCTGTTCCCAGCAATCACCAGGAATGGTTCAATCGGGCAAATCCACCACTTTACTCTTTTGAAAGTTATTATTTATTTTTAAAAATTATGGTAAAATATACATGACATAAAATTTACCATCTTAACCACTTTTAAGTGTACTGTTTGGTGGCACTGAACACATTCACATTGCTGTGCAGTCTTTGCCACCATCCATCTCCAGAACTTGTCACCTTAGACTCACTCCACTTTGTCTTCACTTATGGTGGCCACCTGCATGTGAGTCAGGTCATTCTGCCTTTTCTGATGCAGGTGAGTGACTTTTGTTTGTGAGTATACACATGGGAATTTAGAGATCTATCTTTTTCTAAGCAGCCATTTACTTTTCCTTCTTAAACTGTGGAACACCTAACAATTGCCTTTAGGGAATATAGTTACATGAACACCTTACAGATCATAGGTCAACTTTAATAAATATCATAGGAAAAATGGCTCCACAATTCCTGACATAGGATGCAAGTTTGGGCCACCCAGACTGTGACCATTAAGTATGTGTGTATCACATGCAAAAACTTTATCTCATTTGATAGTCACCCCTCACCAATACATGTCCAACCTAAGGCAGGTGCTCAGCCATTCATTCTTCATGCAGCTGCATTTTAACTGCAAGGTTAAATTGTGGGAAAAAGAGTAACACGTCCTGCGCCCCCCATCAGCCAGATAGGCTGTATTCAGGAAGCACCTTCTCCGCAAGGGTCGGGCAGTGCAAGGAGCTGCAGGGGAGAGAACTGCTGAACCAAATGGCCCACGGGAGAGTACTTACCACTTTAGGCCTGAATGGAGGGTCAATCTCCTTTCTTTCAAGTTCTTCCCAGTTGATCTCCCGAAACAAAGGGTGCTGGCGGATGTCTCCCCTCACTCCCAGCCTCTTTTCAGGTTCTCGCACAAAGAGCTGAAAGGCAGCATATGGGGACCGCTTACTTCTCGAGGAATGATCAACCTTGCAGCAGTGGATGTTGTGTTTCTTAGTGTACGAGCCACTCGCTTGTCTAACCTTATTTTTCTACTTACCTTTATAAAGATTGACTAAAGTCAAACTGGTCCTGACACTCTCCTGAATGAGCCTTTCGGAATATTCTAGAGTCTGTCTTTTGCTCCCTGGACATGCTATCTTTTGAGTTCCATAGACCAGGCTTGAAATCAGCTTTGCCATGTGTTATTTATGGGAACTCTGGCAAGTGACAGAACCCTTAGCCAGTCTCAACTGTAAGTGAGCTAAATGCCCTCCTCACGGGGCTGATCTGAGGATTAAATGAAATAGCAACACACTTACATGCACAAAGCACAAGTGCACATGTATGCACACACACACACACATGCACACACATTTGTGCACTATACCTCCTCGTCTGTGAAACCCTACAGTGTAGAGCAAGTGATCAATTTATTTGTTGTCTGAGTGATTGCCCATCAATTGAGTATGATTTCATAAAAAACTGCCTCCTTATGACCACATTGTGGGGAATCAGGTATAATATAAACTAGTCCCAGATGGTCAGCCTCGGACTTCACAAGCCATCTGAGTACTGGGAATCCCTCTTGACTCCTACAAACCTGCTGGATGAGTAATATTTAATTCCAAGTTCATTTCATGATCTCTGAGCTGGTACATGTATTTTTTTCCTCTTTGCATTGGCCCCTCTCCTGCTATTTTCCCCTATAGGGTTAAAATGAACACTGGCAAGACAGGAAAGAAAACTTGGAAACTTTTCAAACTTAAATAAAACCTGCCTAGGACATTAAGGAACAGGAGAGTCTAAACATTAACTTAGAAAACTAACAGGTCCTCTGGGTGTCTGGAGTAGTTTTCCTTTATTCTTACACCAGCTAGATGTTTATTTATGAAGTAACCACTATATAGGGCATCTTAAGGAGGCTGTGGATCTTTAAAACAGAGAACTCGGTGAAATGCAGTGATTTCCCAGGAGGCTCTGGCAAGGGTGTGACCTCCGTTGCCACCTAATTGCAGGGATCTCTTGCTCTTACTGCTTGTAAAAACAGCCAGTTTACATATTGTAAAACACTGCTTGTCTTATATTACATTACTGCTTGAAGTCTTCAGAGACTCTACCAAAAAAATAATGACCAAACAACATGCTGTAGCAAAGATTTTTTCCCCTCTTTTTTAAAAGTAGGAGAATCTCTTAAAATTCTAAGTGAGATGCTCATGCAACTACCTAGTATTTTCAACTGGTAAATCCTCAGTTCCTCTCTCTGCCTTACCATATGGTGGCCATTGAGGACTTTTATGGCAGCTTGGGGTTCCCAAACACCTAACTAGAAAATCACTGCATAGTGTAAAAAACACAAGACTGTTATCCAAGAGATTCACTACCCACATGGTCATTGATAACTTTTCTGTGTCTTGATTTACTCATCTGTAAAACAAAGGGTTACACTAGGGATCGCTGAGGCTTGGTGATTTCTAGCATCCTCCGAGTCCTTGGCTGCTGCTCAAGGCTTTCTGGAGCCTGGTGCTTATGCATAGGTGCTTCCATTCCCAATGGAACCACCTCCTGTCCAGACATATCAACTCACAGAGGGATCTCCAGCCTTTCCTACCTCTGTCCTTCAGTAATGACATTTCCTTCTTGCAAGGAGACACCTTTCCTCATATTCCATCCTATTTCCTTCTCTTCATCTTTAAATCCTGCTCCACCTTTCAGGGCTCAGCTTACACCTCCTTTTCTTTGTGAAGCTTTCTTTGATTATCTGAACTGACAGGGAGCGTCCCCTCCTCTCCTAGCCCTATGCACGCTCATGTGTTTGGTTAAATCATCCATGCCGACCAGCGTTCTTTGAAAGTCAGGTACTGAGCTAGATGCTTCATGTAGATCATCCTGATTTTAATAACAAGTTGTAAAAGCAGGTACTTTATCCCAATTGTCAGGTGAGAAACTGAGGCTCACGGTAACTATGTAGCTTGCACGAGATCATAAATCCAGCCACTGGTGGAGCCTAAATGATGAGCAGCTTCCCTCCCACTTTTCTGTTGGATAGTCTCTCCTCTAGCTCTGCAGAACCTCTTCCCTGCATTAGAGAAATTAGCACATTGTATCTTTTTTCCAAGTCTGTCTTTGCTTCTAGACTATAAACTCTGGAGGGCAGACACCATTTCCATTTCTATTTCTTACGGAATGTAGCACAGTTCCATGCACATAGTAGATGCTCAGTGAATGTTTGCAGAATTAGTGAATAAGCTGCCTTTGCACTTTGTTTATCTGCAGATCATGTGCCTTCTGTCTTCATCTTCTCTCAGCCACTTGTTTTCAGCATATGGAAAATTCACTTCTGTAAACTCAAGAACCAGTACCAGTCAACAGATAGAAAGCAGATTGATTTTTTTTTAGAGGCAGAGGGAATGAGTGACTTGCCCCGTGCCTCTTCCCTGGAAATGATCATAATAACTGGTTGACCTTCACTTCTTCAGGACATTTTGATAAAACAAGATTAGATAGAAGGTGTAAGTGTCTCAAGAATAGGTCAAGAACTAGCTCATGTTTTTAGAATTAAATGCATCAGGGAATTAAGTTAGAAGTAACTTTCCTGGGCCAAGCATGCACCATCTAGGCTTTCCATTAGATGTTCTTCAATGAACATGTGGCATTTGTACTGAGATCATCATGGCAAAGAGGCTTCTGAGCTTGTTATATATACCGTGAAATTGTAAAAAGTGTATTTTAAAAAATAAAATGAGTAATGAGAATATAATATAATCTCCAACTCTGAAGTTCAGTATTCTTTCTAGTTTTACACAGGACAGTAAAATATTATAGTCTCTGCCCTTTAGCAAATCAACCTGCCTGAGGTCTTGACGATGACTGGTGACCTCACAGGGGTCCAAATTAGCAACTCTGTGGGAGGAAAGCTGCATCGAGAAATAAAATTCATGAAGAAAGACTTGCTTTTGTCCATAAAAAGCTGTCAGAAAGGTGGTTTACATTTATAGGAAATAGCACATCTCTTACATACATGGCCAGGATGTAGTTGGAGTTTGTTGAAATTTATTTGACAGTCTGGGCAAGAAAGCAGTTCTGGGCTGCTGAGGATGGCCACCCGTGACTGGTGACAGATCATACTGGAATCTACCTTGCTTCTTCAGTCACTCCTCAGATACTTTCTATAAAAAGGAGAGGTATTTCTGTTCGAGATCATTAGTTTTCTGTTGTTTTCAAACAAATGAACAGGACATCCTGGGTGAGTAGAAAAGGATGTTACTGCCATCCTGGCTGCAACTTTTGATGTGTGCAACCTCTCCTGATGTGTAATTGTTCAGTGCACAACCTGCATCCATGCCCTGTGAGGGCGAAAGGGGACAGAGTCTGGTATTGATGCCGCTGCTATAACAGATGCCACTAAACGCTGATTTGTTCAGCTTTTCCAGAGGACCCATGACTTCTGGGCTTTACAACGTTATGTAAAATTCCCTAGAGGAAATTTCTGAGAAAAGGTATTACCTTTGACTTTTGCAGAAAAGGGGGCTCAAGGATGTGGGGGCTGTTGGATCAAATTTATAAAGCAAATGAGGAGTACAGATGAAGCTAGAAGCCAGGCTTACAGTCAGTAAGTTGCTTAATGGAAACTAATTTTTGTACCCCAACTGCAAGAATATGTGCAGGAGAAAAGACATGGAATTTTTACTAGCTTGCATGGGAAATAGGAAGCCCAAACTCTCTACGTGAACTTAAAACTTTTTTCACCAACCAGTCCTTTTTTAAAATCTCCTTTACCCTTAATTGTCTTGGTTTCTACTCTATTCAACCAAATCTATTTTCTACCGGCCCAAACTCTCTACGTGAACTTAAAACTTTTTTCACCAACCAGTCCTTTTTTTAAATCTCCTTTACCCTTAATTGTCTTGGTTTCTACTCTATTCAACCAAATCTATTTTCTACCCTATGGCAAATCTTTCTCCTGTCACTGAAACTCTGAGGATGACTTTTTCTTCTTTTTTTGGTATTTGCATGGCAGTTAGCTTTAGATTTAGTTTTGCTTATAAATTTTTTATTTTGAAATAAGTATATATTCAAAGGACATTGAAAAGATAGCAGAGATGTCCTGTGTGCCCTTCACCCAGTGTCCCCACCTGGTCACATCTCATGTAATGACAGCACAAGGTCAAAACCAGGAAACTGGTGTTGCTACAATGTGTGTGTCTAGATCAAGCCATTTTATCACATGTGCAGATCAGGGCAAGCCCCATGACAAGCAGGATACAAACTCCTCCATCACCATCTCCTTTTATAGTCATACCCACTCCCCCACCCCTGCCACCCCTCATCCCGGCGACCACTAATCTCATTTCCATCTCTGTGATGTTGTCGTTTCAGTGACGTTACATAAATGCACTCAGAGCATGTGACCGACTTTTAACATTCAACATGATGCTCTGGAGATGTATGCAAGTTGTTTTGTGGATCAATAGCGTTCCTTTCTTTGCTGAGTAGGTTTCCATGCACATGACTTTTTGCATTTTCCCTCCAACTGGAAGTAATCCTTTCCTCCTACCCAATCTTTCTCTCCTTTGAAATCATCACCCCCAACTTCTTTCCACAGAGTGACTTGGTTAGCCCCGCCTTCACCCTCAGCCCTAGCCTGAAGCTGTCCCAGATCCTGAGATTGAGCTGAGTGTGGGAAGCACCATGGGAGGGTTGGTTTTTAGGGGCACCGGTGTTGAGGGATTGTGTCTGTATCACCAGGGCCCCCCTGCTGTGATCACCTGAAGCCAGCCCCTAGGTCTGAAGATGACCTCACCCCCCTGATGGTACACACCAAGCCTCTCCTCATTCCTTTTTTTCCAGTGGGTTTTGTTGGCCCAGGCTTCTCAGTGTAGCCCCTCAAGCTATGGACTGAAGTGTGTCCCCCCAAAATTAATAGGCTGAAGCCCTAACTCCCAATATGACCATGGATAGGGCCTTTATGGAGGTAATTAAGGTTAAATAAGATCATAAGGATCCAGTAGGATTAGTGTCCTTATAAGAAGATACCTATAAGATTATGATCTGATAGGATTAACGTTCTTATGAGAAGAGGCACAGAGCACTCTGTCTCCACCATGTGAGGACGCGGCAAGAAGGAGGCTGTCTGCAATCCAGGAAGACAGCCCTCACCAGAACCGACCCTGTTGGCACCTTGATCTTGGACTTCAAGCCCCTAGAACTGTGAGAAACAAATGTCTGCGCGGCAAGAAGGAGGCTGTCTGCAATCCAGGAAGACAGCCCTCACCAGAACAGACCCTGTTGGCACCTTGATCTTGGACTTCAAGCCCCTAGAACTGTGAGAAACAAATGTCTGTTGTTCAAGCTGCCCAGGCTGTGGTATCTTGTTATGGCAGCCTGAGCAGACTAAGATACTTCACGTTGAGTCCTTCCTCAATGTATGTAAATGTATGTAAGTTAAATGTATGTAAAGTAAAACTGTTCACATTCTAATCCCACTAACTTATTTTCACTGTTGTCATCTTTTTGTTGTTTTTGTTGGTTTATTTTGAAATGAACTTTCATTTAATATATGTGTTTTGTTCAGTCATTAAAAGTGAATTTAATTGGTCGTTTGGGGAGTTTCCTAAGTTTATTGCTTGCTTGGATCACAGTCAGAAAGCGGAAGCTGAATGGAACTGGCTCAGATTTTTAAATACCTGGTTCCACTAGCCTTGGACTGGGTGTCCTGTGAGAGCCTTGTCAGCACCTCTCACAGTCAACATCTTGATGCCCCATAGAGAGCTCTGGAGTTGTCTCAAAATTTTTAATGCCCTAGACGAGTTGTCATTTGTATTAGAGAGGTGGAGGTGTATACCTTTTAAATTTAATGCCAAGTAGTTCTTCAAGAGAAAAGAGGAGGCTAGTGAAAAAAGATGGGCCTTTTAAATTTCGATTTAAAATTCACTGATAGCTTCTAATGTTGAAGAACCTTATCCTATTCCCGTTTTGAATATAGAAAGAGCAAGGCTAAAAATTATTTCTCTAAATGATGGTTTTTTTTTTTTTTTTAAACCAGCTGACATATGAGATCTTAGAAATCAAAACAATGTTTCTTCTAAAACATTCTCTATTCTTGGTCCACTTCTCTTAGATTTGCCAGCCTCTTAATCACACTGGTGGGTCTCTTTGATCCAAATATTTGCTGGGACAGCTCAGTAAATGTAGTGCTTATTATTCCTGTATGTATTGGGCATGTCGTATTGGCATGATTCATTTTCCTTATACAGCTTGTTACACTCATACACTAGAATCACATCCTCAAAAAAAGGTAGACTGGACTCTGCCTAAAGTCCAAATCTTTAATGATGTCTCTCAGATGTTCCTCTGTCCCTGCACTGGTTTGCCTCGGGAGCTCCTGGTTCATGGCACATGATTCTCAGGGCCCAGTTTCCATTTATAGCACCGTACGCTGATCTTAATGCATCCTGGGCTATCATGGACAAGGGTCTGACATCTGCTTTGATGGTGAATTCTGGAGATTGCTGCTAAGATGGCAATGGCCTGTACTCTGAGAGTTTGTTAGGGTAAAGGATGCATCAATATTTCCAGTGGACACCAGGTAGGGCATGTGGGGGAGAGCTGGTCTGCCTGTATTTTAAGTAGTGCCTAAGACAATCTGCTGGAGGTCAACCAATGGCGGGAAAGGTTGTTCCTGAATTAGTACTGGTACAGTACATGGGCTAGGGAATGAATTCAATGGCCTCCATCTCAAGGGTTTCAGCCAAAAATGTCCCCAGGGATAAGTATTTCCAAAGAACCTACAAGAGTGCCTTGCAAAAGTCTCAGCTGTAATCATGCCAAGTTCAGAGTGTGAAGCCATCCAGCCGACTAACAACAGTTCTTTCTCCCTATCCCTTCATCCTTTCTGTGCTCCCACCTGGTATGGTCTGAAGCAGAAGGTCGAGAGAGGGAGAGGAAAAGAACAAAGACGCAGTCACCCCCAACATGACTACACTCACTTTGCACAGGTGAACAGCTGCCAGCTGTGAACTCTGACCAGAGGAAAGAGAGCACAAGTCTCAGCTTTAAAGTTAAAATTGACATGATGACTAATATCTTGAGCTGCGCAGTTTTAATTTCTCAACTGAGACAATGTTTTATGACATAGGAGTGACAACTGATTGAGTTTTAAGCCAAAAATTGTGCTTGTTCAAAGGATCAACTACATCTCCACATAAAGGCGTTCAAGAGTCATGGAACTGGTCCCCGGGCATTTCTTTCCTACATGATGCACAGGAGGGTCTATCTAATACTCACTTTGATATAAATGTTCATAGTATTGGTGTGTCAGTTAAAACAGAGATAGCGGGTATCCCACTTAAATCCAATACAGTCATTGTTTACCAGGTATAAATCAGAATCTAGAAATAAATGGGAATATTGATCAGAAAACCTAATACTAATCTTATGAAAACTTTCTTGACTTCATTTCTTACCTTCACCAGAAGGTCCTTAGCTTCCTTCTCAAGCCATCGGGGGTAAAAAGGATTGTCCATGCGGATGGAGTGGAAGAGCTCTTCTTCATCCTGGCCGTGGAAAGGCGACTGGCCGATGAGCATCTCGTAAAGGAGAACACCAAAGGACCACCAGTCAACAGAGTGATTGTATTTCTGACCCAGCAAGATCTGTGTGAACAAAAGGCAGAGTCGCAATTAGTAGAAATGAGGTTGATGATTTCCTTCTGAGCTTCTCAAAGCCACTCGGTAAATGCTCGATAGGGTGACAATACATGCCTTCAACAAAGGTCACACTGAAAACTGTATCTTTTGACAAGCTGATGAATGGACAGAAATGCCAGCGTTTTTGAGTTTGAGTTCGAGGAAACATTTTTGAGTTTCCATTTCTACTTTTCCTCTGGCTTTCAGTGAAACAACTAAACTGTGCTGTTTGCCTTCCTTTTCCCATCTGTGCCATGAGGACTTGTATGGCAGATGTCAGAGCTACAAAAGCTGGTGTGTAGCTCAGTGCCTCTGACGTGAACGTCTAAACAAACCAAGCCCATGTGCTTTACAGACTCCCACTGTCCTGAGTCTTTGCTTAAAATCTCTGCAGTAATGAAGCATCCAAAGAGGCCATCTGACCAAGTCCCTTCCTTAAAGCCTAGCTAGTCATGGCTATGACATGCAGGAGTCACATTTGTAGTCACTGTAATGCAGATTCAAATTGTGTGACTATGTGGGATGGAGAGCCCAGGATAACAAACTGTTCAAATTCAGAAATCAGAGACCTCTAAGAGCTGTGCATAGCTGGATGGTGAATTTTGTGTAGAACTGGTCTGGTCTACCTGTTAGGAGGGTGGATGTAAAGCCTGGAATCTCACCTAACTTCTTAAAAGATTTCTATCCTTTCACCAATTCATTTTCCTGTCAAAAAAGGCTTTGTATGCTGACCTTTCAGCAACTTCCTTGTTTAATGTTGGAAGGTAGAGCTTGCAACACTTGTCATCCAAAAAAACTGTGCTGTGACCTTCTCTAAGACTGTACCTAGTAGGATCCATCAACAGATGGATGGACAAAGAAATGTGGTGGTGGGTATACAGCCAAAGTCAGGAGATCGAAGAGACGTCTGCACACCCATGTTCATTGCAGCATTATTCACAATTAACCAAGTGTCCATAAGCAGGTGGGTGGACAAAGAAAATGTGGTATATATACACATGGAATACTATTCAGCATTTAAAAAAAGGAAATCCTGTTTAATTATGCTAAGTGAAATAAGCCAGTCACAGGAAGACAAATACCACGTGATCCAACTTATACGTGGAATGTTGAAAAGTCAAACTCATAGAAACAGAGAGTAGAATGGTGGTTACCCAGGGACTGCGGCGGGGGGGGGGGAATACTGTATAATTCTACTTATATGAGGAACCCTAGAGTAGTCAAATTCTAGAAACAGGAAGTTGGTGGTTGCCAGGGGCTGGGGGGAGGAGGAATGGGTAGGTATTGTTTAATGGGTATAGAGCTTCAGCTTTTCAAGATGAAAACATCTTGGAGAACAGTTGCACAGCTATAGAAATATACTTAACATTACTGAACTGTACACTTAAAAATGGTTAAAATGGTAAATTTTATGTATATTTTACCACAATTAAAAAAAATCCTAGTACATAGAAGGAGCACAATAACAATTTGCTAAATGGAGAAGAAGAAAAAGTCTTTGTTAATTCATGACTGCTGCTCCCAGGATGGCTTGGGGACAGGCTATTTTATTACCCAGAACAAAACGGGGAATGGATAATAGTACTGAATCACTAAAGGGGGACTGGGACCGTCCTGGGGGTGGCCATCCTCTCCACTCTGCAGTTTATCCTGGGCGTCGCACGTACCCATAAACACACACACACATGATTGCTATTGGTGCTACTCATTTGAAATGAGGTTTTTCCTTCCTTCTTAAATGGGGCTTTGGAATAAATTGTAGAATTGGAGCACCAATGGCCTTAGGAAAGAAAAATGACACTAGACGTCTAGACATTCCAGTATTTTCTAAAAGCTGCATGTTTTGATGCTGGTGAACTTTTCTGATGGAGTAGAATGATGTTCTCAGCAGTCATCCTGGATCCTGCCTCACCCCTGTGCCTATCCCTGGGACTTGGGATCAGTACCAAGGGAGGCTCAAGGCTACCGTGATGTGTCTCTAACAAAACAACAGCAAAACAGGTTTGATGGCTTTATAAAATGTCACAGCTTCTACTTCTGGCTTAATCTCTTGTTGCATAGTTTTGGAAAGACTCCTTAACCTACCTCTCAACCTCATTTGTAAGAAGTGGCAATCACATCTGGCCAGCTTATTATGGGGCTTTATTAAGGATCTAATGAAAACTAGGAACGTCAAGGTGATTTGTCATATCAACATTCCTATAAGTGCTATGATAAATATCTATTTTGATGAACTTGTCCCCATATGCGAAAATATAGATCAAGTTGCAAATAGAGGGCCGGCCCCGTGGCTCACTCGGGTGAGTGCGGTGCTGGTAGCGCCGAGGCTGTGGGTTCGGATCCTATATAGGGATGGCCGGTGCGCTCACTGGCTGAGCGTGGTGCGGACGACACTGTGCCGAGGGTTGTGATCCCCTTACCGGTCACACACGCGCACACACACACACACACACAAGTTAGAAATAGAATTTTGCAACCTGCCACCAATTTCCAGTATAAAAATGCTGTCCACTGGCCTTAACTCAATATTTAAATGTTAAAGTTTACTAAACTTTACAAAATTTATTTTAAAATTAGAAAAAAATTAAGTTTTCCTTAAGGAATAACCTAAAAGTAGACCTGGGAGAATGATAAGAAAAGTAGAGACGCATTAAAGTACAGTCTTCGTTCAGGCAAGTTTGCCCTTAAGTGGGGCCAGGTACACACGCAATTTCTGAGACATGCCACCAGGGGGTGCCAAAGTGAACACAAACTGCTGTGAGCAACACATCTTTGTAAATAAACAACTACATTTGGCAGGACAAATGAAGAGACATTTAGAGGACAGGAGACAGCTGGAGTGGAGATTAAGCCATCTAGGCTAGATGATGTCAGTAAAAAATTTCAGTCCTAAGGCAGGAAGAAGCAAAATGAAGATTTACACACAGAACAAAATATTCCCTTAAAGAACACTAAAAGATGTTAGGAATTTTCCTTTATTATGTCTTTTATTTATAAGAACGCCTTGAGCTAAGTCCTGCCATTCATATTTTAAAGAGGATAATGATTGGACTTAGGGATGTCACATGCCTTATTTGAAGTCTCCTAGTTAGTGAGTGGAAGGCCATGTTCTGACTTCCAGTCATGGGGCATTTTATAACATCATGTGCCTACATAAAGTTGTCTCCTGGTTTTAAACATTAACCTAACAAGGTCATGCTCACACCATTGTGCGTGTGTGTGTATTTTTTGGGAGGGGGGCAGCTGGCCAGTGTGGGGATCCAAACCCTTGACCTTGGTGTTATCAGCACCAAGCTCTAACAAAGTAAGCCAACCAGCCAGCCCACACTGTATATATTTCACGAGACAGTGGTGGAGAAACACTGGTAGAGCAGGTCCTTTCTGTCTCAGCCCCAGTGCCTCCCCTCATTATGGGCTGTTCATTCTTCTTTTGTCCTGTTCCTTTCCTTCCCCAGCTTTACCACTCCATGCCACAGTCCCTCTTCCTCCCTGACAGTGGTGAGACCTGCACCTCCTGCAGCCTTTGGGAGCTGGTGAGCTGAGCGGCACAGGCCTCTGCGGGGATGTGCACCTGGATAAGCGCTGCTCCAGTACTGAGTGCCCCCCGGGACCTCTGTGCTTTTGGTTTCTGGTGATTCCTACTTTCTCCAGGGAGCTGCTTCCTCCTGTTGAAACCCCACGTGGATTTGCTGGGTAGCTAGTGTGCATTAGAAAGCAGGAGGTTTTCCTATTTACCTGTTTCCCTATTCTTTGTCTAAATGAGCCTGGACCTCTGATTTTATACCAGACCCTTCTTGCTCCTAAAATGGGAAGACAGAGGGAGCAGCGGGGCCTTGGAGAGGAGCTTCGGGTCTCGGGAGACACAGACTGGGGACACTATCTCCCGGCTGAGGGGAGCGCCGACTGCGACTGCTTTTCATGCGTCATTCCTGCTGCTACTTTGAAATGCATTTACTGCTAGGATTTGAGTTCTCCTGATAGGAGAGATCAGTGTCCGCTAGATGGGCTCATGGCCTTTGTCCCCAGCCATTTTGTGCGCCTGTGTCTTTCTAACTCCTTGCCTTACCTTGTGCTTTCCATTAGCTATGGAATCCCTTCCCCGAAGGAGCATGTACTTTAACAGAAAAGGTGACAACTGCATAGTCATAAAGACGACACAAGGCAGTGCAGGCTTCGAGCCCCTTTAGGGAAGGTTAAGTGATTACTAGGCACAGAGGGAAAAGAGCACTGCTCCACTTTCGTTCTGTTTTTCAGGATGAAAAGGGCAATGGGCATGTGAGGGAGATAAAGAAAAACCTCACACGGTAGATGGCATGAGTATGGGGCCTTGAAAAGCGGGTGGGATGCTGTGGGATAGAGAAGGGGGAGGCTGCTGAGGGTTGCGTGTAAAAGAGGCCCAGAGGTGGGGGATGCAGTACACGTGCAGAGTGGGTGTTTCAGGTGCACGCCCTGGTGTGGGCGTTTATTCAGGAAACCTGCTATGAGCTGTGGGGAAGAGATGTGCCGCAGGGTGGGCAACTCACCGTCCCAATGGGGAGAAATCAGCTTATTGGTAAACTGCACACACATGTGCTTTGGTAGCACAGAGAAGAGACTAGTCCGAGAGGTGAGAAGCATCTTTAGGGAGAGGATGGCTGTGGAGGTGGGATGGCCACAGACCAAGGATGTGCAAGGCAGAGCAGGCACGGTGTGGCCCTGTCAGGGAAAGCCAGCACTTGTCTATGCCTGGACACATTGTTGAGGACTTATGCTCAGGATTTTGGCTCATACCCAGCTGAGAGTTGCGGACTTCTCAAAGATTTTAAGGCACTGGAGTGACAGGTTTGCACATTACAAAGGCAAGTCTGGTAACTTGGCAGACCAATGGCCTTCATAGGGTCCATAAACCAAAGAATGACCCAGATGATCTAACGGGATGTGGGAGGAAATTTAGAACTTTTATTTATATTACTTTTTAAAAAATCTGAAATAAGAAAGAAGTTAGGCTTTATGAACATTTACATGGGTGCCCTTGTTAAGAAACTTGAACAGTCCGTGGGGTATCCCTCGGGAAGTCTCATCTCAGAAGGAACTCAGGGGCAGCTTGGCCTGTTCATTTATTTTCCATGAATCACAAGGTAGCACAGGATTTGGGGTTCTGTTTTAACTAACTAATTTTCACAAAGTGACAAGTCCTTAAAAAGTTATCTGCAAAGAGGCTTGGACTAAAGGTAGTACTGCAGTGATAATGCGAATGCAATATGCAGATTAAAGATAAAACTGCGATAAGTAACACAAACATGAGCAAAACGTGAGAACACGGCGGTGTTGGCGTCTCTCTTACTTGTAGTTCAAGCTCTTTGTCAGCCACATATGATGAAGCTGAAAACAGCGACGACCTCGTTAGTTGTGTTTTAGCTGATGAGAAGGTGGCTAAACCTTCGTCTCAACAAGAGCATGATCAAGAAGTTTGAATGCACAGAGGGGGACACAGGAAAGTCAGGTGCAAGGGCACCACCAGGACCCGCAGCAAGAGATGCCGGTGCTCCTGACCAGGGCGGCAGCAGCAGGGATGGGAGGGCCTGGAGAGTCTTTGGGGACTAAATCAAGGGCATTCACATTGAGGATAGAGAAGGAATGCCAATTACATTCCTAATTAGTATTAGTGAAGGGAGAGTCAGCGAAGGCACAAGATTAGGGATGGAAACAGACATGAGAGGTCCAATTTTAGACAGTCTTGCTGTTTGGTTGGATTTTGGGGGCTAAGGAAAAAGGAGAAAACTTGGATAATTCCTAGTTTTCTATCTAGACAACTAGGTGGATGACAAGTAATTCACCAAGAAAGAGAAAAAAAAAGTGTGTTGGGGGGAAGTTCACCAGAGAAAGTGAGTTTTGGAGCAGTTATGTTTGCAGGGCCTGCGATTTTCAGGTGGAGCTCTCAAGCAGGAAAAAGAACTTGTGGGTTTGGAGCAAGAACAAGTTCAGGCTGGCCATATTTATTCTGGATCTAAACCCATGGTCACCAATGCAGTGCCCATGGAGAATGTCCAGGAAGAAGGGAAGAGGACCCAGCCTGAAGTGCAATGGAGAGAGGCGTGCTTGAAGATGAGAGGTGGAAAGGGTAGTTGCAAAGTGAGAAGCGGGTCACTGAAGCTAAATTCTGGAACTTGCAGAGGGAAACAGAATCAGGAAGAAGGTTGCCAAGGCCACGGCGTGAAGCATTTACAGACAGGAATGAAAAGAGCAAAGCAAACACGTTAAGATGTCCTCAGGTGCAGAGGAAAGAAACCGAGGAAGCTCACATGAGGTGGAGAAAATGACAAAGGAGACCTCTGCTGGCAGTGACCGCGAAGGGGGATGGATTATAGAACTATTGTTAAGGGGAGTTCAGCCGCTGAATTGAGTCTCTTCTCTGAGGTCTTGATTAGCTTTGGCTTCTCTTCAAACTGGAAATGGTTTAGTGCATCGACATCTATATTTGTGCTAACCTGAATGAAGCACAGATTTCTAATATCAAAAAGTTGTTAAATCAATGAACCAAGCTCTGGGAACTTGACAATTCCTAGAAAGTTAGAAGCCATAATTTCTTGTGGAACAGAGTCCAACCTTGCATTTAAACAAGGTTACATAAAATCAAATACCACACAATCACAGGGTAAAGTCACTTAGTTCTTAGACTGAGGCTACCACAATTATTTTGGCAATGGCAAGAATTTGCTGCTAAAGTTATTCTACCCAGGAAGTCTGAGGTTGGTCAGTGTCTTTATTAAACAATCATCCATTCACACATTTATTAATTCAGTTATTCATTCATTCTTCCAGAAGGTGTTTATTAGCACCTTCATGTGCCAAGACCTGCACTAGGTCCTTGGATATAAATGTGAATAAGATCACACAGATCTGCCCGTGTAAGACGGTGGCACAGAACCACATATGCCTTGGACCAATGTCAGTTTCCCAGGTTTGATACTGATCCCCAGCCAGGGAAGATGTAACCTCTGGGGGAACCTGGGCAAAGGGTACAGATGGCAGATGTTTCTGCACTAGTTTTGCAACTTCCTGTGAATCTATAATTATTTAGAAATAAAAACCTTCAAAAAAATGAATGAAAAAACCAGTCCTTGGCTTTAGAGCAAACATCCAGTCATGCAGGGAGATCCAAAGATAAAAAAGCAACTAGGAGAAGTGCTGTGCTGTGCTGTGGGAAGGACCAAGGGCTGAGGGGGGTCTCTAACCTCCAGGGGTGGGCAGCTGGGAGGATTATATAATGAGGGGAGAGGTGGGTTTAGTTAGATTGATGGATGCCTTCTGAGCAAATGCCATTCCCTCTGGATGCTGAGAATATGGTAGCAATGTATTATTATTATTATTAATTATTGTTATTGTTATTTTGGCAGGAGTGGGGCTGAGGTTTAACTGTCACATACTTTCTCATTTAACGTGTGCAACACCATAGTGATGTAAGTATTAGACCCATTTTACAGAAGAAGAAATGAAAGTCGGTGAGACCTTGGCCATCTCTCCATGGCACACAGGGACAGCTTGGAAACCCCAGTTCGGGTCTTCGACCCCACAGTGAGACCACTTGACTTAGGTGGGATTTGTTCCCATCTGGCTTTCCCCCAGTTCCTCCTTCTGGTTTGTCTGAGTCTAGTTCAAGGCTGGGGGTGGGTCAGAGCCATGACAGAAAGAGAACGAACCAGTCGAGCCTTGGAAAGGTGTAACTAGTATGAGTAGCATCCCACATGAAATAATAACAGCGAGCCATACGTACGGCTGCATTTATGAAACACTTAGAGAAACAAGCACAAATCTGGAACTGAACCGAAACACTTAAAACCTGCTGATGCTGAGCGGGGAGGGGCAGTGGCGGGGCTCCCAGGGGGGCAGGCCTCCTACCTCCGGGGCGATGTAGTCAGGAGTCCCGCAGAAGGTATTTGTCTTCGCGTCTCCTACCATGTTCTCCTTGCACATTCCAAAATCCGCAATTTTGATATGTCCATCTTTATCTAACAGGATATTATCCAGCTTCAGGTCCCTGAAAAATAGAAGCAAAGCACAATCTCACTTTAACACACATGATCTTGTTAAACTAGTGCCGCCATGGAGGCTCAGTGCCCACTGCCTGCTGTCCTGGTCACCGCGGCCCATGCTCGGGACTTTGCCCATGGCCCTGTTGCCCCAGGTCAGCCCACCCAGGCCTCTCTCCCTCACAGATTTGTGTATCTTCCATGCCCGGTTCAGCACAACTCCAGAGCTCAATCCAGATTCCTGGGATGGCTGGCACGGCAGGTGGTGAGACACGGCTTATGCACTGTGTTCTCTCCCCAGGGCAGCACCCTTAATTTTAAAAGGGGTCTTCAAGAAACTGTGTCTAGATGAGAAGAGACAGCTCACAATGAAAGACCACCTCGGGCTGGTGGCTGATGATGTGTTTGGTGCAGGGCGGTGTCTAATAGCACACAACACACATCTACTTAATTACCAAGTGGGGTGTAGACAAAGCTGATTCTTCAAGGGAATGGCTGCTGCTGATTCCTCTTTCTGGTGGCCCAAGGAGCAGGGCTCAGTATAAGGAGACAGAGCACGGACCTGAGGCGCTTTACCCAGGACTTTCCCAGGGCTCATGGTGAGTGAGGAAAGGTCTAAGGAATGTTCTTTCTGCCATTTTCTATATATTTCTCTTTGTTTCTTTGTGAGTGTATTACACAGCACCTAATTCCAAGTCCAGATGAGGAAGCCTATTCCTAACTGATAAAGAACTGCTCCAGAACCAGAATCCATGCGACACCCGAACATCAGGTCAACACATTCCTCTTTCCTTAGAGAAGCAGCATACCCTTACAATATTTAGGTAAATGTTATGGATAGTATTTTTCTTAAAAAAATAAATGAGCCAAATTATGTCTACCGGTGTAGACATATTATTTCACCTGTTCACCCAAGGACGCTTTTTATCATGAATACACATGACACCCTAAATATTTGAAAGTGGCATCAAGTTTTCTCCTCTTTTTTTCACCAAGGTCAGGGACAATTCCTCCTATCATGTGGTTTTCAGACCCTTCCACATCTGGCTCCTACTCTTCAAATATCTCAGATTTGTCCACTTTCTTCTTGAAAGGTGGCACTCAGAATGGAACCAGTATCCTCCAGATGGATCATGTGATTGGCACAGGTTCTGGTGGTGCTAAGAGCTTCTGTTACCAGCCTCTTGCCTTCTGCCACCGTGCCCTAAGATACTGCACCTGTCGTTTTAGTGGTTTTACCCAATAACGGTTAATATTGAGTTAATTGTAAACAAAACCCCCCAGGTATTTTTTTCTGTACTGCTGCTATCCTAGATCCTTCTCATCTTGCATCTGTGAAATTGATTTTTAAAAGATAATTCGGGTGCTTCACTTGACATCGATTTCTTTAAAATTTTTATTTTATCGATTTTAGCCAATGAAATTTTATGAATTCTGGTTTGTTAAATAACATTCAGCTTTTCTTCCCCTTTATTTATTTATTTATTTATTTTTTGTCTTTTTTCCGTGTCCAGCAACGGATCGCAACCCTCAGTGTTGCCCCCGTAAGTCTGGGACAAGTGGGTGGTGATGGCTACACCTGCCTTCCTTAGTCAGCTAAGATGACTTGGGAGGGAGTAGAAACAGCCGTTGTTCTTATCCCTTACTGTACTTTTTTTTTTTTTTTTTTTTTTTTTTTTTTTTTATAGAATTTGCTCAGGCTCCCTTCTCAAAGATTCTTCTCCCAATGGGCCTGGTGGGTAACCCTGTCCCCTCGGCCAGTTGATGGACCAGAGATGGGTGCCTGACTCAGCTGGACCATTCATTGTTTCTCTTTGGGGTGCTGAATCATGATGTGGGGGCACCAGTCTGTCCCAGTTAGGTGCCTGAACTGTAAAGACACCTAGGGCTATGGTGGCGTTTGCCCTCGCATGCCCTTGGAGAAAGAGAAGACTAGTCTGCAAAAGAGAGAAGAATGCAGTGGCTAGCCAGGAGCAGAGGTGGAAGCCACGGGAACCCCAGGAGAAGCAGGGACTGTTTGAAAGAAACTACCTCGTGTGGGCCTGCCTTCTTGGTTCCAGTTTCTCGGTGAGGTCTGGCTTCTGCTTAAGCAAAAGTTTGAGTGATTCTATGTTCCTTGTCATCAATATTCATGTTCTTCTAAAGTTCCCATCACTATTTGTTTTGTCTATCTCTCTGGTTAAACTGGAAGCTTCATGAGGGCATGTATTAGTCTGGTTCTATTGCTTATAACAGAATACCTGAAACTGGGTAATTTATAAGGAAATAAGGTTTATTTTGTACAGGTTGGAGGCTGGGAAGTCCAAGGTCCAGGGAACACATCTGGGGAGGGCTTCCTCTGAGTGGGAACTCTCTACAGGGACCTGTGGTGACCAGTTGTCACATGGTAAGAATGGGCTGAGCAAGAGAGCTGACATTCTCACTCACTCTCTTTACAAAGGCATCAGAACCACGCCCATTACTGCAGGAATGGATCAATCCATTCACGAGGGGACAGTCCTCACAATCTAATCACCTCTCAAAGGCCCCACATTTCAATTATCAAAATTAGATTTCCCACCTTAACACTGTGACAATGAAGATCAAGTTTCCAATACATGAATTTTTGGGGACACATCTGACCCACAGCAGGGTGGAAATATATACTGCTTGTTAATTTGATGTATTGTGACTGCTCTGATAACAGCACAGCATGTACTGAGCTTTTGATAAATACTTGTGAAATGAATTCATCACCAACCAGGGATTATCAGCTGCGATTAATTCCTGAGTAACAATTCCCTTTTACTGCTTTCTCCACCTTCTGTGAGAGTAAGTTAGCCAGAGAACTCGAGAGTAGAGTACAACTGTTTTAGTGGAGTTGAGACTACTCACAGATGTCCCCAGAGTAGACGTCTTCCATTGGGGCCGACTTGGTAACCTTCATTACCAGCGTGTCACTGAAAGGGTCTGTCTGACTGGGAGACCTGGAGTGATCTCACATTCATGTCAGTTCTATTTCTGTCTCATGCTGACTCAAACGCTGTCACACATTTACCATCAAGACTGAAGGTGTCCACGACATCTTCTCATTAGAGAGTGCTAGTTTTCTGTCTCCCTGATCTTTCATTGGAATTAAATACACAGTTTCACTGGAATTTATCAAATATATCCCAGTAAGTCCAATTATAGGTTGTATTGAACTCCTTATGCTTAAGTTTCAGGTTCATTACCTATTCCACACACTATGCTATATTGATATCACTTTGGGTTTCTGCTATATGAAACGTATTTGCATCATTTACAGCCATGTACAAATATTTCTAGCAATTTGGCTGAAGAATGGTTTGGTGTTTGTCTCAACGGAGCCAGATATCCGCTGTTCTGATATATACAGATCCTGAAAATAATGAACATAATAGCTAATATTTGCATTGGGTTTTCTTTTCTTTTTTTTTTTTTTCCTTTTTTTGTCTTTTTCCGTG